CATGGAGGCTCCCGGGATGCCTCCCCCTGCCACACAGCCCCAGCCTCGCCCCCTCACCCTGCCGAGAACGGGGGTTCATCTCCCCACCACTGCTGCACTGACCTAGCGACAAGCCTTACCCACACCGCAGGTGCTGGCCCAGCTCCTCGTGAAGCATCCAGCCCCCAGGCCAGAGCTTTGAGGAGGGGTCAACTCCAGCTTTCTAAAGCTGCTGCATAACCTTGGGGCATGGGGGAGAGGCCAGAGGGGCCCCAGGGCCAGCTCTCCCTGCAGCCAGCCCAGGTGGATCCCTTAGTCCCACACTTTGCCTTCATGTCCTTCGCTGGCTAGGTGGGGGAGGGCAGGTCCAGCTTCCTTTCTGTAAAGTTGTTGGTGACTGTTTTTTTTTTTCTAACCAAGTCTGCTGGAAACTTCTCTCATGTTGTTAAATAAAACATTTATTTTGGGCCCCTGTGGCTCAAGACACTGGGGTTGGTCAGAACTGTGCTTGTCTTGCCTCTGCCAAGGTGTACCAGAGCCACATCCTCCCTGTGGGTCCAGCCTGGCAAGGCCACCCCACTCTCGTAAGCTAATTCTTACCCCTCCGACGCTGGCGTTCAGCCTCCTCTTGCTCCTGAGCCAGAGCAGAGACCCTTGCCAGGCCAAACACTTGCTTATCTCCCCAGTCCAGTGCCAGCCACAGGAGCCAACTCCAGCCCCCACAAGCAGCACAGCAGTTGGGGCTGCTCACACCCTGCCTTGTTCACACACAAGGGGGCTGTGGTTTAAGCGTGAGACCACATAGGTTTCTGCAGTTGGCAAGAGCCCTTGGGCAGGTCTGGGAGCTGGTTTTCCAGCCCCTGAGTCCTCACTAGAAAGGCCTTTACCTACGCTGCAAGCAAAACCACTTTCTACACCACCACCTCCTCAGGGAGCCTTTGCACAATTTCAGGCCAGCACAGGACCAGCAAGGCAGGCGCACAGCTGGACACCCTGGCAGCCCGCAGCAGAGATGCCTGGCTGCTTGCAGGTCACTCACGCTCAGGTCCACATACCACCTCCATCCATGCCTTCAGCTGGTAAGTAAGACCAGCCCAACCCCAGCTAGAAGATGCCCAGCCACTCTGCTTTTCCTCCCACTCCTCTCCACTCACAGAAGACAACACAAGTAGATTTTGTCTAGCCTTTATTAAAAGGAAAGTTATAAAAAGAGGTTCAGGAGCTCCCAGCAGCTCCGCATTAGTAGTAGTGCAAACCATTGGTTAGAGAAAGAATCATCCCTGCAGAGATGTCGAACACTATTTGGCTTCGCATCCACAAAAAGGAAGTTTTCCCAGTTGCAGTCCTGCTGGCTCAAGCAGGGGCCCAGGACAAAGCAGGCCGCCAGCTCAGGGACTCTCCTCTCCATCCCTTGCCTTCAGCTGCATGGATGGCAAACACAGGTCCCAGGGGCATCCCGGTTGTGACAGAGAGGAGAAGCACAGGAGGCTGGATGCAGCTGGCATTCTAGAAGAGGCACTGAAGGGTTACCAGGTAGCAGCTCAGACACTAGCCAGGTTCATTGCAGAGAAATTTCTTTGTGAGGACAGACAGCTCCGTTTCAAACAACTAAAGTGCCTTTGCAGAGCGGCGGGAGATGACACTCAGTCATTCCTGCAGCAGACACTGCTCCCCCTCGAGCTGCTGGAAGAACACCCCGGGGGCCTCTAAACAGGGTAAGAGCCCTCTGCCCGTGGCTGACCTTGCAGAAACACAGTACTAGCTGCTCAGAGGCTGCAGAGCTCTGAAGAAAGCAGTAAGAAATACTTATTATATAAAAGAATTTGGCCTGTGTTGTCTTGTTTTTCCCCCCTCCCCAAGCCCTACTAACAGCAGGGCTCCTCAGCTGGTGATCTGCACTGGTATCTTCCAGCAGAACAACATCTGGTCCTGGTCATCCACCAACTCCCACTTCACAATTAGTTTAATCTGAAAGAGAGAGAAGAGCAGAGGGAAATGAGAGCGTTCAGGAAACCTTAAGGCAAGGACACAGGGAGGGGAGTTATCGCTCGTGTGGAGCGAGGAGGTCCTGGAAGGTCTGTGCAAAGAGGACAGAGCTGGGGCATTGCCCTCACTGCAGTAGGCGGGCCACGCTCATGCTGTGACTCCTGGAGTACCTTACATGGATGGAGGGTTCAGCTGCGTGGCACAGAAGACCTACACACACTGCACTCGGATCCCCGCTCTCCGATTAGGCAGGGAGTGGAAACACCCCGGAGCCTCCCAGCTGAACTGCCCTCTGGAGCTGAGCACCCCCAGTTTGGGAGCATTTGGCTGAATGCAGCAGGCTCTGCAGGGAGGCAGAGCACAGGAGGATACTTGGGCAGCTGAAGCCACTTCTCAGTAGCTGGAGGCAGACTGCTTCCTCCACCGGGTCTGTTGCAAAGTGAGAACTTGAAACAAGAGTCACACTTACAGCAGAAGTGCCACCAGGTAGTCTGGTGAGTCTTCTAACCTCTTCCCCACCACCACAGGACAAGGTGTCCTTCCTTAAAGGCAGCTGGTGGGACTGCCCCAGGAAGGGTGGTAGCTCTGAGGAGCAGACCAGCTGCCTGCTTACTTACACTGGGGTACTCGCTCTTCACAGGGAGTTTATTCAGGTAGCTGTAGGAATGGCCCTTCTGAATGGGGCACTGGATCCCAGATTTGCATCCATCAGGCTCAGGAATGGGAAAGGGTACATCCACATGCAGCATCTCTCCGTACACTCTTGCTTTGCTGCCCTGGCTCTCGGTCTCTGCAGAACATGGAGAAGTGTGAGCACGGCACCAGAGCAGAGGACACATTTCTACCTTACACTCTCCCCTCCACGTACCCTGGAGAGGCTGCAAGAACACAACTAAGGGACCCTCTTCCTCCCCGGCCACTTCTCCCCACCCAGACCCCTCTCCAGCCCTTCCCCACGCCTCTCCAAGCAGCGGCACACAGGAGCAG